CCCCAAAACCCCAAAACCCCTTAGTGAAGAAATGATGATAATTGAGAGTATAAAAATAGTAATATATTTATTTGTAATGGAACAATAATTTCTACAAGTACGCAAACTCTTGATAATTTTATATTTAAATAGGACTTCAAATAAAAACACAGAATCTTGGAGACTAACAGAGTGATCAGAGGTACAGATAACTTAGTAATTTATCAAGCCTGTAATAAGTCTGTAGGGCCATCATACTATCAATTAGTATTCTATTATCAAAGATCTCGGGTCAGGTTCATACGGTGTAGTGAAACTGGTGCATAAAAATGAAACTCTTGAGAAATTTGTAAGCAATAATCTCTTACATAAACTTAATACACTTCAATATGTATATATGACATATACTTTTTAACAGGCAATGAAAATGTTCTGGAAATCAAAACTCAAAAGAGAGAAGGAGTTTATGAAATAGGGGGACGAAGGGATAATGATTGTCAAAGATGCCTTGTAAGATGTAATGAGAGAAATATCAATCATGAAGGAATTGGATCATATTAGTGTAATCAAACTTCATGAAGTCATTGATGACTAGGCTGACAAATTATACATGAGTAATATAATTGGATATAATATCTACTGCAGTTATGGATTATGCACAGTATGGGCAGATTATGAATTGGGATATTGAAACTAAAAAATTCAGTCCATGTATTGCTGATAAAGATTAGTTTTCAGAGAAAGACATTCAGAAAATTCTGAGAGACTGTATTAGAGCATTAGATTACAGTAATTATAAGACATATTATTATTCATTGATCATAGTGCACTAGACTGGCATAGTTCACAGAGATATAAAACCCTAGAATATAATGTTGGATGAACATGGAATAGCCAAGCTTGGAGATTTTGGATGTGCTTAGAGATTCTAAAATGGAGACGATATTCTTAATAATACTATTGGCACATATCAATTTTTCTCGCCTGAGTGTTGTGACCGTAAATCTTGTTGAATATATTTTTATAGCTGATATTAAGACTTTCTCTGGAAAGGCTAATGATGTCTGGGCTCTAGGAGTCACTCTCTATGCTCTGGTTTTTAATGAGTTACCTTTTTGGGCGGAGACTGAAATGCAGGTCTTAGAAATGATACTTTAAGAAGCTGTAATAATACCAACAAAGCGAAAAATATCTGAAGGATTAAGAAGCATTTTAATTGGTATGCTAGACAAAGATCCAGAAACTAGAGTAACACTTCCTGAACTGAAGAAAAATCAATGGCTTAATGAAGGCTTTGCAGTCTCTCTTGACTCTAGGGAAGCAGACTTCTTTGCTAATTATACTGAAGATGAGCTAAAACACAAAGGTGTCCCACTGTAAGCTATAGTATACGCTGTAAGTTATTATGATAATAATGATTGATCTGATTAATTTATAGAAAAAATTGGCAAAGAAATGGTCAACTAGTGCTGAACATTAAGACGATCCTACAAAAACAGAAACTGGCTAAAATAATCCCTAAAATGAAGAATTTGAGGAATAAAAAAGGTAATGAACTATAAGTACAAACAAATATATATCTATTACTAAGTGATTTCTTAATTTTATAAAAAATCTCAATAATGATTTAAGGGGTTTTGGGGTTTTGGGGTTTTGGGG